ATTCCGTAGACACATTTCAGAAAATGTTACAACTCAATCACTTTTTAGTTTCAAATGGGATTTAGGATCCCATAATATATTTTTTGTTTGTTTTAAATACATAAGATATTGTGGGAGGGGTAAGTTGAAGACATAATTTGAACAATTTTTTAATTTTTTAATTTTTATACAAACAATACTGGAGGAGATGAGAATGGCATTTAAGACTTTGGGTGCAAAGATAAATATTCTTAACCACTTGAGCTACAAGCCCGGTGTGAATCCAACAATGTTGTTATGAGGAGAAAATAATGTTGTTATTAATATTTTATTCAACTTGTGTTTTAAAAAGATTATTTTATTCAATTTAAGAAAATAACGTGGGCTCTACATGTGCCACATCATCACTTAACAGATTCTCTAACAACCAATTTAATGGCAGAGTTCTATTGCAAAAAAATTATAAACTAAGGGTACGCGGTTGTTTAAATTGAGAATGCGGAGACAAACGTGTCTTAAGGGTACAACTTCAGCATACCAAACTGAAATTAACCCGAGAAAGTTTATACCTCCAAAGGTCAAGGGCCTATCAACCTCCCTCTCATGGGCTGGAACCTCCTATATTTAAGCCTACAAAAAGAAGATAAAAAGGGGGCCGATCCGACCCGGACATGTTAGCCCATAGATGCTGGACTCGGTGGAGCATCACCCATCTCACACGTATGCACCAAAAACCACAACCTTCTTCTCTCTATCTCAGCTTGGCCTTCCTGCAGTTTTGCTTCCCAACCCAATCAAAATTCACAGTGAAAAACTACAGTTTCTCAGCTCTGAGAATACAATAGCCGGAGAAATCTCTCTGTCTCTCCATGGCCACTTCTCTACTTTCTCATCTCTCAGCTCCGCCCTCACACGCCATAGACAATTACCAAGGTCGTCAAGCAGGTGCCTTTAATTATGGGATCCCAAATACCTTCCTTCATGGCACCAAGGTCTTCTCCGCTACACCTTCTTCTCCAAGAAGGCTCGCAGCCCGAAGACGCTTCAAGTCTGCCTATGCCAAGGCTTCGGAACACATTCCCAAGCAGTTCAGGCAAGAAAATCTCAAAGATGGACGTGAGTCTTCACTACCCTGCTGCTCTCTTTGTTTATTTATTGATTTTCATAGATGCCCATCTCTTCTAGTTTGATTTTAAGGGGTATTTGTGATTCATTTCTTTCATCCAATCGCATATGCCATGTGGGTTTTCTTTCCTGTTTCTAATTTTTGGGTTTTGGGTTGGGAGGTTTCAATTGGGTTGCTCCGTAGAGAGTTAGGAAATATAGACAAGGTTGAAATTTTGAATATTCAATTATTACCCGCATGATATTTGAGGGGACAAAGTTTTTTATTAGTTTGAGGGTAGATAGTAAAGCCTTTTGGAAGTGCAGGCAAACGTTTACAGTTGTTTGCAAACCAAAAGAACATTTGGTTCTACCTCAATTTTCTCATCTATAGCCCTGCTATCATGTTGTTTTTGAGGATTTTATTAATGGTGGTTTCACAGTCTAAAATTTGTGCTCAGTTCTTGTGAGTTTTCAAGGGAAATTGTAAGGGGTTGGTTACTGAAATGGAAGAGCTGTTGTGACGGAAAATGGCCACAAAATAAATATAAGCTTGTGCACAAGGCAATATCATGTTACCTTATATTATTATCAGGGATCATAAGGAACTGTTGGGTGAACTAAACTGGTCATGCTCTGTTAATGTGTTGAAAGTAGAATGCACACAGACCATATGTTGGTAGGAGAAGCCAAGGAAAGTGCAGCATCGTTGAGGATTGTGGATTGGTGCGGGTCTATGCTTAGTGGTTGAGTGTGCCCCAAAAGCACTTAAAAGTCCAGTGCTTAAGTATTTCAAGATGCTGTTTTTTTGGTTCTTAGTATTCTTTATGAGCTACGTAGATAAAGGTTATTATAACCATTGATTTTAAGAACCCATGGGTAGAACTTGTCCATGCAAAACTGGTTAGCAAGAAAAGGTTCTCAATAACTTTCCTAAGTCGGGATGTTTTATATTTTCAAGTTGGAACATGGGAGTTGTAAATTTCACCATGCTTTCAAAGACCGATTTCTTCATCAACCTTCTCTATCAACACTGATCCGGTGTTTGACCTCTTCACTTTTGGGTAGCTTCCTCACTTACCATTATTCAAGGACTTAGCACCTTAGGCCACACTTTTCATGCTTTGATACCAAAGGTTACCCTTGAAAAATTGATTTGCATGCAAAAGAAGCCCAATAGCTTATATGTTACACTGGCATGTTCTTTTTTCTTCGACGCGGGACATTTGTACCTTAATGATTGATATCAATGTTTCTAGCGATGCCATAACCATTGATCTTAGCATCGGAAGTTATTCTTCTGATATATGTTGTAATTTGATTATGCTCATCTGCAGTGCCCCTTGCCCTCCCAACAATCATTTTGCATTTTGTTTGAAACTTGAGTCTTCTGTATGGCCCACATATATGTTGTAATTTTGCATGTTGTAATTGGATTTCCTACTTACTTTTCTCTATTGTTCTCATTTGTAGTGATGGATAATTACAAGAATGTCCCCCATTATCTGTATGGCCTTTCTCCTTCCCAAATGGACATGTTCATGACAGAAGATAATCCTGCCCGACGTCAGTCAGAAAAAGTTACAGAGGTGCACTCTCTATACACTCCAAAATTTCTAAGTGGCTCAATGATGATAGAAGTGCTAAGTTGATTTCTATTAAACCTAAATAAAAATGTACAAAATTCAGCTAACTTTACATTTTCTTGGTTTCAAAAACTCTTTCACAGCAAAGCATCTCGTCTGCGAACAACTACTTGAATCATGGAGGGATGTGGAGTATGTCAGGCATGGATGACAAGGGACCTTCAAAATATAGTATGAGTGTGAGCATGTATCGGGGAGGTGCAAGAGGATATGGAAGACCCAGAACTGCTCCTCCTGATCTGCCTTCCTTACTTTTAGATGCTAGGATATGCTATTTGGGCATGCCAGTAAGAGATTATATTTCTGGCAGCAAGATAAAACAATGTTATTTCTCTCTTCATGATCTATTCATTCATTTTGTTCTGACTCAGCATTTTACTTTTTATCTGATTTCTGTAGATTGTACCGGCAGTAACTGAGCTTCTTGTTGCTCAGTTTATGTGGTTGGATTATGATAACCCTTCTAAGCCCATATATTTGTACATAAATTCATCTGGGACACAGGTTAGTGTGGGAAGTCCTGATTGTAATTCAGTTTACTTGATAATGATGAGTGAAATATAACTTCTAGGTTTCCTCCATCATGTTCACTATTCGAAGTCTTACCTATCTGTATTAATTTGGTTGGTGCTATTTAGAATGAGAAGATGGAGAGTGTTGGATCTGAAACTGAGGCATATGCCATAGCTGACATGATGAATGTAAGTGTTTTTATCAACTCTATGAGGTATTCTCTTTATATCTATTTATAAATGCAGATCAGTGAAGTAAATTGGTAATTTTTCATTGTGTGTCATCTATGTCCATTATATAGGATAATGCATATTGAATAATGTACAGAAATCAGTCCGACACCAAATTAGAGTCTGTTATCTCATTAAGGAATAATATCCATTACATAGACCTCACGTTTTCCATTTCCACCATTTTAAGCCAGCCACCTGACCTGCTCTTGATTTATCTGTGTATGTCTGCATGTAGTATGTCAAATCAGATGTGTATACTGTGAATTGTGGCATGGCATATGGTCAAGCAGCACTGCTTCTGTCACTTGGAACAAGAGGTTATCGTGCCGTACAGCCAAATTCCTCCAGTATGTTTCCATCTTGAAATTTAAGCTTACTTTTGAAACATTATCATGCAATCTGGGAATCTGTAAAGAGGGTGCTATTGTCTGCACCCATTTGTTGTGCACTTTTTGATAACTGTTATTATTTTGAATTCCAGCAAAATTATATCTGCCAAAGGTCAGCCGGTCAAGTGGCTCAGTCATCGACATGTGGATTAAGGTATCTCTCTCTCTCTCTCTCTCTCTCTCTCTCTCTCTCTCTCTCTCTCTCTCTCTCATTTTCTATACAACTGCTATCAGGCCAAGGAACTGGATGCAAACACAGAGTATTACATTGAGTTACTCGCAAAAGGAACAGGGAAGACCAAGGAAGAAATTGCCAAAGATATCCAGCGTCCCAAATATTTTCAAGGACAAGAAGCCATAGAATATGGACTGGTAGACAAGATAATTGATTCTCGTGATGCTGCATTTGAGAAAAGGGTACTTTTTTCCATATCAATTTTTTTATTTTATTAATCATTCTGTTACAACCAGCATTGCAAGTAGTAAAAGAGAATTTCCTTATCAGAATTACGATGAGATGCTTACCCAATCAAGAGCTATGAGGAGAGCGGGGGCAGGCGGTCCGCAAGCAGCTCCATCTGGATTTAGGTGATAGCAAGGAAATAGCATTGCAAAGACATATACCAAGGAAGGTTTGAGCTGTCTCTCTCATCTCTTCCGTATCTAGTGCATTGGAGGAACAGGATGCATTTGGGGTTTTGGCTGAAGACAATGATGACAACATTCCATTTTGTGGCACATCTGATCCTGTATATGTGGGTAGCTTTGGAATAGTGTTAAGTAGCTTATGGATTATAGTCCACACACACAAACAAATTTTAAGAACCGAAAGTGTTTAGAATGTTCTATCTTTTCTCTGTGGAGTAACTCGCACATTGTATGTCTGTTGTGTAACTGTGCAAGTTATGTTTCTAGTTGAAGAGTATGAAATATTCATCAGAACGTTTTCTAAGTCTTTGTATACGGGCTCAGTATGAACCTTATTTATTTTTGGTAAAAAAGCAATGATGTAATCTGACACTATTTTCTGATTAAAATTTGGGGAAAGTTTTGATGACTAGTATTTATAATGGTAGAATGATTTTCAAAAGAAGACAACGTGAGATTTACAAAAGGAGATGCAAGAAAAGAACTGCTTGGACTGAGGCATTTTTCATGTAGATGAAATCATAACAATTGCGTTACAGGGCATCATCGTTTCTGACAGCAGAAGAAATTTGAGTTCCGATGGCCAAAGTCTCATACACAGGCCACAACGGAACCGGACAGGATCGAATTAAACAAATATATATAGCCAGAGTAACTTAAAACAAAAGCCAAAGTCCTACGATTTCACTTTTTTTCTCCCTCTCTTTTGATTCTTCAACAAATTTCAGTTATGCTGGTGGATTAGGGTACACTTTTGGCTTTGGCTTGACCTCTATCTCATTTACACTTCTAACAAAGATGGAATCTGGTTCGTGGCTGCAAGTTGAACAGATAACACATTAGATGGATAGATGGATAGATGGATAGATCAATGGAGAAGGAGAGAGAGGTGCTTACGGTTTATCTCCCTCTTCAAATGTATAACTTGAAGCCACAGCCAATAGGCGGCCATCTCGGCTAAAAGAAAGTGCCGCAATGCTTGTTGGGTACTTTGAGTACTGTAAACGAAGAGCATATTAAAAATTTATTATAATTGTAATTTCACCATAGGTGAATAATACATCAGTGTCACATAAAGCAAGTAATTACCTGATACAGCCTCTTCTTGTTGTTCCCATCCCATACATTCACATAGCCATCACAACCTCCAGTAGCAAAAGTGCCATAGCTGCAATTGAATTTCAAAAGGAAATAATAAAAATATGCACATGGAGTAAAAGGCAACTTATATCAACACTATTCTAAAACTCAGATTGCTAACATAATATTCATTTCGAGTTCAAGAACAATGTCTCCAACTCTATCCAGTTCAAATAGTGTAATGTTCAGTTATAACTTATATGTAGTATGATTGCAACTCTCATACAAGCGAAAACATGTTTCAGTTTCTAGATGACTGCTTTTTTCAATTTGTCCCCATGTGGTGAAAATGGGCTGTCCACATGTCAGTCAATAATGTAAAGGAATCTCACTCAAAAGTTCTTTTGATAATTTTATTAAAGTATCAATCAGCTAAGTGATAATTTTATGAATTCCACAAATTAATGCATAAAAAGTTTAGTACACAATATTTTAAAAGAAAAAAGTAACTTACATGGGGTGGAATGCAATTGCATTTACTGGATAGACAATGTCCCTTCCAGCCTCTGATTTTCTGTGACACTTGAATGCATATCTGCACCAAGGTTAATACCATTAACAAATTAAGGATGAATGACAGAAATCAGTGCACAATATTACCATAAGAGGAATTTTACAGTTGTTCCACCAAGAAAAATCTACAAGCGAAGTAAAGCTTAGAACCACCAATAATTAAGTTGTGGCGGTGAACTAACAGAAGCACATTCTAAGATGTCGTGGTGGGTGGCATCTAAGATGTCGTAGGCCATTCTAAATAAACCCCTAAAGATAGGAGGTCGTGAAACTGAAACTATCAGTCAATGTAAAGCACAATTTCTCAGTAATTGCTGAATGCTTACTTTTTGGTCTGACTAGCCTCTGAGAGATCAAAAAACTCCATCGCAACCCGTCCTTCAACAGAACTAAGAGCATAACCTGCAAAAAGTAATCATAGGATCAAACATGAAAGAAGCAACAGAATGGATGCATTCCATTCACAAAAACAACTTAAAATTTTGTAACTTATTTTTTAAGGCAATACTGAAATGAAAAAGTTTCTTTGTTGTGAGCAAGGGAAAAGCAGTGGGAGTGGTTAGCCACAAAGCCACACAATTCTGCCCTTCGCAATACCTTTGACAAAGTACCAAGTGCAAGAAAGAAAAAGTTTGTGAGATGTGTCCTAAAACTAAAAGCTACTAAAATTACCTGTTCCATTAGGATAACAGCGCACACATCGAGTTTGATACTTCAACGAAGATTCCCTCCGTTGCTCAGGCTGGGACATATTTCTCAAATCATAGACATTGACGTGTCTTCCTGCTGTTGCAACCACCAACCGATTTCCAACAAGAGAAAGAGAATAAACACGTTCGGGTTGTGGGTACGTCCCAACAAGAGTACGCTCCTGTCCGCTTGCACCTCTGGGGTCCCAACACTTGAGTGTTTTATCCCAACTACCAGTGATCAACTGCCCTGATATCATTTTATCGCACAAGAAAGTAAAAGTGGGATCCTTCCAGTAAACGGAAACAAATTGGCAGCAGTTGAACTTAAATAAATGAAATTACTGAAAGGACCAACTATAGCATCCACATTACGATAAAGTAAGGAAAATGATTTAAGGTTATAAATATTTCCATTTAAAGAACAACTAATACAACAAAGCATACTATAAACTCTGAGCAGCCCAGATACAAAATTAATTAGCAAATTTAGGACAAAAAGTTTTGCAAGAAAAAACTTTGAGGTTTTGATTGGAACTAATTTCAAATGTTAAAAAATGATAACTTGGAGAACATACCTGCTGCATAAGAGTACTCAACGCACCGCACTGGTGCATCGTGCCTTCCTAGGATGTCTTCCTTACTAGAGCTGAAAACGAGCCTGGAACATTGACACAGAGCATAGACAAAACATGAGAATTCAGAATTGGGTTTTTAGAGCATTAGGGTTTTGGGGTTTTAATTACCGTCTAACAGTGTTGTCGGCGCCGGCGCTGAAGCCGGAAGAGTCGTCGTGGAAGCAGCAATCGAGTACGGGACCGCCGTGCTTGAACTCTCCTCGCAGCACATTAGCGCTGGCGTCGTACAGTCGGACGGTCTGCGCAATTAGAGAGAGGGGTTATAGAGAGATAGAGAGAAGGGGGATACGTGGCGACATATATGAGAGTGAGGGCATACCTTGTCCCATGAAGAGACGAGCAAATGATCGCTGTGGTTGGAGAAGCGGAGGTTAGAGATGCCGTCGGAGGGGGGGCTGGAGAGCTCGCGGCCGGGGGCCGGCGGAGGGACAGCTGTCATGGCGGAATTGGACGGAGAGTGTGCGAGAGAGAGAGAGAGTGTGTGTGTGTGTGTTTTAGGGTTTTTGAATTTTGAAGAGTTGAGAGTGTCGTTGGAGATGGAGAGTGTGATGAGAGAGAAAAGAAAGAGGGAAGGCGGTTTGAAAAATGGAAGAAAACAAGAGAGAGACGAAGGTGATTTTGTGATCCAGAGGTTCTTTCAAATTCAAAATGAGGGGACGATTTGCTTGTGTCAACAAGCTTGGGCTCATTTTTGCAAGCCCAACATAACAGAGTTGCTACATGCACCGAAAAGTTTAATCCCTATACTGGACTGAGTCGTTCTACGGTGATGGTAACATATATAGATCATAGATGTGGATTTTTATATTAGTCACGTAATTCATTTGAATAATAACTTCACTTAAGTTGATCTTTAAGATTGAGTACAAACATATATGAGCTTAGTCAAGCCAGTTAGAGAGGATGTGCTTCCAACTCTGCCCTTGAGTTCGAATCTCCCTTTCAGTACTTTAGATTATATTAAAGTAGAATATCTTTTGTATAAAAAATAAAATAAAATAATTGAGCACAATACATGTGAAAAAATTAATTTTTGTATTTTTGTGCACTTTACAAAACAAAAAGAAAATAGACTAGATCATGACTAACGGTCTCAATGAATGATTCTTTGGTAAGGGGGTCCACGTGGCCTATAAGAATTTCTTGCTATATATTGCCAATCTCAAGGGTCACATTAGCACCGCGCCAGATGACGCTAACATACGCTGTCACTTCTCTTCCTGACGTTGAAGATGTCCCAACCCAAATACGAACAATTAATTTTTTTTATTTCAAAGTTTTCTTAATTAAACTATTAAAAACTTTTAGAATTTGACCTTTTAAAATAAATGGTAAATTTTAGTTCTTTAATCTTTCTGTTTAGTTTTCATCTATTATTTTGTGAGAGTTTTTCACCTCTTTTTTTGTGAGAGTTTTTCACCTCTTATTTGTGAGAGCTTTATTTGTATTATTGTGGCTTAATTTTTTATTTTCAAGTTTTATCTATTTTTGGTTATTCTGAGTCTGCTCTTTAGTTGGGATGCCTATGCCAAAGTTTCTTCGATCCTGAGTGATCGTTAGTGGAGGAACCCTAAATTGTCTTAATTTTGATGTTTGTAATGGTCTTTTGTGGCTAGTGGCTTTTTTTGTTAAATTATGAATGCAATCCAAGAGTACTTTAAAAAAAAAAAAAAAAACCTCTATTGAAGAAGCAAATGCTCCAAACCACTACACTAGTGGGTCATTTGCAACATCTCTTACCACTTGAGTTCTAAATGGCTTCCTTTCTTTTGTGTTTTTGAAGTACTTAAAATTTTCAATTAAGGTGGGGGTAAGATCACCCACCACACATTGGAAACATTAGTAAGCAATTTGTCTATAAAAAAAAGATAGTATACAACAGAAAATTTGCCAAATACGGAAATACTTTACCCGTAAAGTCCATTTATCAAATATTTTGGGCGATTAATTGATTATCAAATTTACGAAAAAAGAGAAGAAAAAGAAAAAAAAAGAAAAAAAAAAAGGAAAACTGAAAACGGATGGATCTCCTATGAGAGAGTTAAGCCAGTCAGCTCTGCTCGGCCTGAGATGACAAGTTTTTTTTGCAAATCTGATATGAAGGCACTTCGTTAGAGTTGGCAACGGAAACAGAGGAGCCCAAATAATCAGTCAAAAAACCTCTCTGAATCGTAAACCCTACCGACTGCGATTCGTTCACTGCAATGGTGGTCTGCAAATGCCGCAAGGTACCTCTCTCTCTTTCTTTCTCTTTCCACTCGTCAACACTGGTGGTGTGGAATTTTAGTTTATCATTTCCTGATTCAATTTATAGCCGTGATTTCGGTAGCTCAAGGTTCAGATCGGATCGGAAATGTAATTTTTTTTTTCGGTTACAATTTTGATACCGAGGCGATCGTTAAGATTGTGAATTTAGTTTCGGCATCTGCATTTGACTCTTAGATTGGAAATGTTCAGATTGATTGTTTAAGCTCATCATTTTGATTCAATTCTTGAAATTCTAGTTCGTAGACCTTCTTAAAGATTTCATTTCTTGGGATGGTTAATTTCCAAGGCTGATGGAGATTGGTGCTTTTGGTGTTTCAGGCTACCAAGCTGTATTGTTTCGTGCACAAGGTTCCAGTTTGTGGTGAATGCATCTGTTCTCCCGAGCACCAAATATGCGTGGTAAGTATTTTTTTGGTATTGGGGTTTGTGGTCAATTTTGTATTGTAATGTTTAGGCTGCATAGTTTGGTTGTTTTGTTGATTTGATTATAATTACAGTGAAAGTATTCTTCTCTATATTCATGGGGCTGAATTGGACTTATCAATAATTATGGCGCTGGATGGATTGAACTCAAGTTGAGTGATGCATGAACATTTGCATTTTACATTTGTGCATATACATACAAGTTGTGTAGGGAGAGAGAGGAGAGACAGATGAACAGAAATTCATGAGAAAAGCAAATGATAACGTGCAATATATTAATATCTAATAGATGTATGGGTTCAAAATTTAGAAACTTTTACTTGCATGAGAATACAAAATTGTTTGACCCTTTTGTGCCCACTTAAGTACTTAATATCTTTTCAGTTTTAGGTTGGGGTGGGAGGCCTAGGTATGATGTAGCGGACCCTTGGCCTTGGCTCAAGTTCTAGGGATGGGGGGTTGTTGCCAGTTTTCTTAGTTTCTAACAACGAATATGATAAAGAATTGGAATTTTAAGGCTCTTTTAGGGCCTGATCTGTCTTTATCATTTCTTGTAGGTTCGTACTTACTCAGAGTGGGTAATAGATGGAGAGTACGATTGGCCTCCAAAATGCTGCCTCTGTCAGGTTGCACTTGATGAGGGGACTGGCTCTCAAACGACTCGGCTAGGTTGCTTGCGTAAGTGGTTTGCAGATATAGTTACTGCCACTTGCATATTTTGTCAACATGAAGGGATAGAGAAAATGTTGAACTCCTCATACTACACATCGTAATACACATTTGTCTTTTGTTGTTCATATAGATGTTATACATACAAGTTGCCTGGTTTCACATATCAAGAGTTTCCCTTCGCATACTGCACCAGCTGGATATGTTTGTCCTACATGTAACACATCGGTAAGATTTTCTTTCTACTTGTGGTATTGTATTGATCTACTAAAGTTAGAGTACATTTTTTCAGTAGGTGTATCGAGTATTTATGTTCTGCTATGTTACTTTTAAGGCGTGTTTTGTTTTCACATGGGTCTCTATTGGTGCAGATATGGCCTCCCAAGAATGTGAAAGATTCAGCATCCCGCCTCCATTCAAAGTTGAAGGAAGCTATCATGCAGGCAAGGCTCAGTCATGACTCTTAAATTATCACAAAGAAGTAATTTAATGTCAATTTGATTAAAATTGCTTAATATTGCTTCACGCAGTTGGTGGTTGTTGCATTATAGTGTAACATTTGGTAGGCATACACTTAATATTAATGAAAGCTATTAGTCTTCTTTGAAATCCAGCTAAAATACTCACATAGTCATTGTGAACTTGATCTAGTTGAAGAGATGATGTGAAGGGAAAAAGATCAAGGAGGTTGCATTGGATTGCACTGTAATTTTGGTTGATACTAGACGTTATGGTTAAGTTAGCTTTTAAAGCTCTTCCGAATACTAGAAGTTATATTATTTGCTTGAAAATTTTGGGAGGACTCTGATAATCTCTTTTCCCTAACATGGACACACTAGAGTTGCTTGATTGCAGATGTATTATCCTACACAACAAATTTGGATGTTTATTGTTAGATATGTTAGAAGGGTGTAATTTGATAAGGTGGCAGTGGTTCTTTCTATAACGAGTAGCACTAGCATAGAGTTTAGAATAAAGAGATAAACCCTTGAAAATGATATTAATACAATTAATTGTAAGGGTATTGAAATATCAATACTTTTCTATGATGATGAATTAAATGCTCCTTATTCCATACGAGTGTCTACCATAGGTAAGCATGTATACATGGTTAAAAAATGACTTCATTTTTTATTCTTATTAATGTGTATTTTTCTGGGCCATTGCCTACAGAAAGCTGCTTCCTTTCACTTCATTAAGGGTTTTATAGTTTGGTTTTTGTCCTTTTTTTTTTTTTTTTTTTTTTTTTTTTTTTTTTTCTAAGTTTGAGGCATTCTTTACATGAGTGTTGTAGTTGTTGCCTTTGCTTTTCTCCTTTATAGTAGTTAGATGTGAACAGATTTTCTTGTTATGCAGACTGGCTTGGAAAAGAACTTGTTTGGAAATCATCCAGTTTCATTGTTATCAACAGAATCCCGTAGTCCTCCGCCTGCATTTTCCTCAGATCCACTTATTAATGCATCTTCGAATGGAGGCAGGGAAATTAATGCAAGCTCATCAGCAGCAAAAGATGAAACTAACATAATTGATTTCTCAATAGAAGCAGGATCTTCTATACTTCCAGTGACGGACATAGTGGAGATAGAAGGTCCTAGTGCAGCAGGGAATTTTGTGAAAAGCACAAGTCCTGTAGGTGTAAGAGGATTTTGCTGTTATTTACTGAATTAATTAGTTAGTGAACTTATTCCTTACCTTCCTTGTGTCATTTCACATGAGCTTGTGCTCGTGTGTGCGTGCCTTGATAAGTTTTCTTGTGGTGTTTTTCTATTGTCTCATGATTTCATTTTGTTTGTTGCTATGAAAACTAGCCTGGTGCTACAACACGAAAGGGTGCATTCCAAGTTGAGCGACAAAACTCTGAAATCTCATATTATGCAGATGATGAAGATGGGAATCGCAAAAAGTACTCACGAAGGGGTGAGTGGAGAGTTCTGCGTGTGTGTGTGTGTGTGTGTGAACTTTCAAGTTATGATTTCCTTATTATGAGTAAAGCCATACATATTTTGAATTGATCAGAACTATTTCGGTTATGAGTATAATAGGCAAAAGTACACTTTTGAATTGAGCCAAATGTTTGATTAGATCCTTTCTTTGAAAAAATTAGGTAATCAGGTACTTTTATCAACCATAGTTAGAATTTTATTATTACATATGTTGACTTGGCACATTTACTGATGTGGCACATTAGCTGCTTATTTGATGTCAAATGGAAGCCATATAGCATATGCAATGCAATTTTCTTTCCACATACACATGTATAGTAAAATTTATATCATATTAGTAGATGTATAGTAAAATACAAGTATTAACATGCTTCTGTGACCTCA